ATAGACCGAGAGAGCTTTCATTCCAAGCAGACCAAAGCAACGAGGGTGAGCGCAGCGCGTGCGGGCTTGTGATGTCGTTTAAATGTCCTTTTCTTATTGCAACAAATAAGTGTGCTCCCTCTTAAACAATCAATGAGCCCTTGCTAACCTTTTGCCACCGCTGCCTCTTCAAACCCAGAGGAGTTGAGAGTTCCCGGTCAGCAGAGGGAGGTGCCCGAGAGGCCCCTGGCCGATGGACTTAGCTCTCAGGTTCAGCCTGGACACGGCAGAGAAGCTTCTGGGGTCTCCGTGCTGCCTCAGGGAGAGAAACAGCCAGAAGTCCAAGTCTCTCACCATCCTCAGCATCATCCCATCTGCCCACCGCCTCTTCCAACAGGAGGCCTTCGGGAGCCCCTCCAGGAGTGGGGACCAAAGCCAGGGGCCCGGGCCGAGGAGGCCCCGGCATTCCCGGAGCCCAGCTCCCCTGGGCATCTGCAGACAGAGGCGGTCCAGGAAGGCGTCCTCAAAGAGCCGAGGCGTCATGGAGATGCGGCCACGGGCCTGAGGACCCCGGGTCTGACCCGCCAGCACATGCCCGACGTACCTGGGGCTCCCATCCTGCCTGAGGGCCCCAGAGAAGCCGCGGACCCGCCCTTGGGGACAGAACCCGAGGACACAGTGGGAAGTCGCTGTGGCCTGGGGCTGCTGGAGCACCAGCCTTTGGGAGGCCTGCGCCAGGAGGGGCCGCCTCTGAAGGGGCATCAGGGCAAAGAGAGGCTGGGGGGTGAGGAGGTGGATGAAGACCGCGACATCGACGAGTCCTCGCCCCAGGACTCCCCTCCCTCCCAGGATTCTCCTCCCTCCCAGGTCTCCCCTCCCTCCCAGGTCTCCCCAGGTCTGCAGAGCTCCCCAACCCGAGGCGGGCCAGCCCCCCAGACAGTTTCTAGAGAAGCCACTGGCACCCCCGGTTTCCCAGCTGAGGGTGCCATCCCCCTCCGTGTCGATTTCCTCCCCAAAGTTTGCACAGAGCCCCAGGCCGCAGAGCCTGAGGGGCCCAGCGCGGGGCCTGTGGAAGGGCATGACGGGCCCCCCGAGTTCACGTTCCACGTGGAAATCAAAGCCAACGTGCAGAAGGAGCAGGGAGGCTCCCAGGTGGATGTGGGAGGGGCTGCCCCTCCGGGGGCCCCTGGAGAGGATTCAGAGCCCCTGAGCCCCTCTGAGGGAGAGGACACAAAAAAGACTGACCTTCGAGAACCACCTGAAAAGCAGCCTGCGGCTGGGCTGCCCGGGAAGCCCGCCAGCCGGGTCCCTCAACTCAAAGGTCTGTGTCAAGAGCCCCTGAGCTGCTTCCGGAACCCCGTGTGCCACCCAGGCTGCGGGCACTGCCACTGAGCTTCTGGCCCCCGTGACTCCTGCCGCTTCCAGGTTCCCAGGCACAGCCCCTAAGCGGACCGCCTGGGTCCCACCGCTCACCCTCCCGTGGCCTCCTCCTGCCCTCAGGCCCTGGACGCACGTGCCCCCCTCACGCTTGCCCGCCGTTCTGCATGTCACCAACACCCCCGCCCAGCGCTTCCTGCCCTGTTCAGTCCCCCGGCCACTTGGTTTATCCGCACAGTCCACCAGCCCACGGGAGGTTGGTGGGCCGCACTCCAGAGAGGGTAACAGCTGCTCCGACTTTTGAGGGCCTATCGTGCGCCTTAAATGTATAGCCTAGAACCCTCCCGGCCCTCCCAAGTGGGTGTCATTAGCCCCACTTGGCAGATGAGAACACTGAGGCTCAAGGAGGCAAAGTAACTCACTGAAGGTTACCAAGTCGCAAATGGCCAAGCCAGGTTCAGAATCCAGGTAGGTCTGCTCGGGAAGGAAGCTCTTCCTTGTACACCACAGTGACTTCCAGAAGGTTCTGGAGCGACACCTCCTAGCCCAGAGACGCAGAGGGCACGAGCCCGCCTCCTGCTGCTCTTGTCAGTGGACAATGCATCACGCGCGGCAGGTGACACACACAAGCGCTCGGAGGTGGCCAACAGCCCACACTGAGCCAATGACACAACGACCCCACCCACACCCACCCCGCAGGAGGGACAATGAGCAGGAACAAAATGTTCCTGTTCAAAGCACCCCCCTTCCTGAGCCCTAGGAAGCAAGACCACAGTCGCCCTATGGGGGCTGGAGAGATGGGAGGGGCGGTTCCCAAGTGTCGAGGTCTCTGTATCCTGTCAGGGAGGGGACAGTGTACAACCCAAGGCGGCTTCCTGGCCACGTCAGGGGCATCCGTACATTTAGGGCCCTGAGCATTTTAGGGTTATTTTCAGGGTTCAGACATGGATGCTACTGAAGCTGTCAATGGCAAACATCTGTTAAGTTTTTATTAGATCCTGCATGTCAAGAAAACTTGGAAATGTTGTCGATAAAGGAAGCTGTATTTAAAATTTAAAACAGAGGCTGGTGCCATTTTGGAGCTCAACCCATCTGGTATCCAGATGACCTAATAAATTTATAATCCCTTAAAAGTTAAAACAGAAAAAAAATCCTGTGTCCATTTTAAAATATCCTAAGTTCCAAAATAGTAGGAGGCAAATAACTGTGGCTTGACACCTTACAACACCGCTTCCTGAAAACGGTGTTTTATAGAATCCTGGTCCACTGGATGCTGACAGGTGTGTCCATGGTCCAGTCAGCTTAGACTAAACAAAGTTAAATAGGGTTTGCTGGTGCAGGACTTGCCCGAGTCTTTAATAATCTAATGCACATGTTGACCCTCTGAGAAGGACCCATTGTATGAATTCCCCCAAAGTTATTTGATCTCATCTGCTTACATCTCCTGGAAGAGGGCCTGTTCAGTAGTCCCCCAATTTGGGAAATGCTGATCTAGCAGACGCATTGGTTGTGACATGCATGATGGTTGATGTGGGCAAAGGCTGTGAACCAGGTCCTGGACCCTGGCTAAGAGTCTCAGGGTGGGCTCAGGAACCTGCATTTTAGTAACCTCTCCTGGCGATTCATCACGGTAAAGTCTGAAAACCTCTGGGCCAGCTCATCAATGCTGGTCACTCTAAAAACCCAGTCTCCCTTAGCCAGTGAGCACCTCCAAGAGGCCCCATTGTCCTTGGGGTGAGGGGACTGCAATATTGAAATCAAAGACAAATCTATAATCAATCTTCAACAATGAATGTCAGTAGAAGGAGAAGGTCAGGCAGAGGTGACCCTGGTAGACCAGTAGACTGGTTTCACCAAGGGGTGTGGCTTTCTAAACACAAAAGCGGTCAATGATTTAGTCCTAAAATCCAGAGGTTCATCTGTAGGATGTTCGATGGTAACCAGCTATGAGCTAATTTGGGGAAATTCAAGGATTAACCCCTTGGGAGGGCCACCAGGTGGTGAGAAGACCCTCCAGGGCTGGGTCATTTGCGGGTTGGGCTCATTGGAGAACAGCTGGGCTGGTGCCCAAAGCCCCCATTAGTGAGGGGCTGGCCCTGACCCTTGAGTGACAGCATGAGCAGGGGTCCTTCAGGGGACAGAGCCTGGCTGAGCTGCCCCATCGGTGGCCCTGGGACTTCCAAGTGCCCCTCCTTGGAGAGGAGTTGGCCGCAGCTGGGGGGGACTGGCCCAGGCAAAGGCAGGAAGGGAGCCCGTGAGAGGCAGAGCCTGCCTTCCCTGTGCCAACGTGTGCCCGGAAGTTGCCTCTGCATCCCCTCTGCATGTCCCCACCCTCGGCCAGCCTGCTGCCCTCGTCAGGGTGCGCCAAGCAATGACCCCAGCGTGCTGTGTTGATACTAACAGCGAGAGACCTAACAGGTTCCAGGGGAGAGAAAACCAGTGGTTCCCACTGAGCCCACCTGAGCAGAGCACGTGGCACCACCCTGAGAAAGAGGCCTAACGGCCCCAGGCCCCGTCCAGGAGCCGTGCAAATGGGTGTAACGTCCATTCTCGTTTTATATTTCCTCAGCTCGCATGGTCAGCAAAGGCAAAGACGGGGCTGGCACCGACGACAAGAAAACCAAGGTAAGCGGCCGAAACCACGGAGCTGTCTGCCGCCGAGTCTACCAAGAAGCCGTGCTTTATATCTGAATTAGTTTTTATGTACAATGTGTCTGTATACGTGTCACTGAGGTACAACTGCCATTCCCAGCGCTTGTTTTTACGCCAACGTAAAACTCCCGCGTTTACCCCTGTTGCTACCTGTGCCAGGGCCGGGCAGTCGGCAGGCTCGGAGCCCTGCTCCTAGGTGCCATCCGTTAGCCTAGTTAAATGAGGTGTTCACGGGACATGAAGGTACGTTTGACTTTTCTGAATTTTGTACATCTTACCCTTCTCGCTGCAGGTCTGGGCTCAAAAACATATGTATATATACACACACATACTTTAGATAGAAAAATATCATTTCCTTGGGGGCTGAGGGAGTGTTGAGCAAGGACGTGATCCCCAACCTAAGGTGGAGGGTTCCGGGAAAGCCCTAGGAGAGCGGGCCTACAAAGGAGCAAAGACTGGGAAGAGAGGCCTCGTGCCTTCCAAGAACTCTAAGCAGCTTGGCTTGGTGGCTGCAGAGCTGGAGGGGGGGTGGGGGTGCGGCTGGCAGAGGAGGGAAGCCTGGCACACACCTTGAATGCTAAGTGGACAAGTGTGGCGGCCGTGGCGCAGTAGATGCCGCTTCACATCTTGCCAAGGCAGTGATTTGATCGTGTGCTGTCATTAGTCTTCGGAAACGAACCCCAGGATCAGTAAGAGAAGCAGCCTGCTGCCCCCCACCCGCCCACCAGCACTGCACCCAGGACTTCCCATCAGTTGGAGTTACTCCCCTCAGTGACTTTGCACTCCTGTAACTGCACAGCAGTGTTTTCCCAGGAAAATCCCACCATGGCCCTAGACCAGTGATGGCAAACCTTTTGAGCTCGGCATGTCAGCATTTTGAAAAACCCTAACTTAACTCTGGTGCCGTGTCACATATAGAAATTTTTTGATATTTGCAACCATAGTAAAACAAAGATTTATATTTTTGATATTTATTTTATATATTTAAATGCCATTTAACAAAGAAAAATCAACCAAAAAATGAGTTCGCGTGTCACCTCTGACACCCGTGTCATAGGTTCGCCATCACTGCCCTAGACGAAGACCTGTTTTTCTTAAAGGTGCCTAAAATTCCTGTTATCAATTCCGCCTGAAAGGCCTGGGTCTTCATCAGCCCCGGAGCCCTGATGGAGCCCCCAGGTGCAAAATGGTAGCGTGTTGAGGGCCACTCCCCAAAGCGCTGTCCTGTAGGAAGTCAGGGTTCCCCATCACAAGATCCTGTGAGTCAGCTGAGGGTCCTGCAGAGACTTGGGGGATGGGGCTCTGCCCTCGGTGCTTGAAGCAGTAGCCATAGCTGCTTGCCAATCATGACCCCAGCCTCATGCATTCACTCATTCATTCATTCATTCATTCATTCCCACACATGGTACAGCGTCCCTGCCCTAGAGTTGCTCATAGCGAGGGGTCAGGTCTCTCAGAAACCTTGGTAGGGAGAGCGCTGCCTGTGCATCTGGGGAAGGAGGCGTTGCCAGTACCCACCTCCGGCTTTTCTTCCTTTTCACCAGCCCCAGGACCTCAGCTCGCATCCCTCCCCTCACTCCTCCTCCATCCCTTGGGCCGTCCTCCTCGCTGAGGCTTCCGTGGGGAATGCAAGGGCGATGAGGAACAAACCCCAGAAACCAGTAAAATCTCTGTCAGGACCTGCCCTGTCATCGCTCAGCCCTATCTCTCGACTGGTCCTCCAGGGTTTATTCCTGAAAGTGTAGCCCCTCCTCCCCCAGGGCCACACACCCTGGTCAAAGTCCCCCCAAGGCATTAGGACAAACCACAGGTGCCAGCCACACATCCGTCAAGTGCAGCTGCCTCTGTGAGGTAATCCGGCTCTCAATCACCTGTCCCATGGGCCACCCGCCCACCCAGGCTTTTCCTTAAGTGGCCCACGTTCCAGAGGAAACATGGGCCAGATTAGGGTTCACCAGATCGAGTTCAGTTCTATTGCAGATTTTATTCAGAAAGTGTGTGTGTGTGTGTGTGTGTGTGTGTGTGTGAGAGAGAGAGAGAGAGAGAGAGAGCGCGCGCTAAGTGGTGTCGGGCAGAATCTTTGAGACTGAGAACCGGCACAGCCCTGATTGTAGCGGTACCAACCTGTCAGCGAGGGGAAGGGCGCCAGGGGTGAGCAGGCCAGCCTGGCTCCGCACCTGGAATTGGGCAGACGGTGGGGCAGGTCGGACGCAGGACACACTGCAGAAGTTTTATTGAGAAACATCCTAGAATCATCTACTTTGGTGATCTCCACCAACTTTTTGGACATGAAACACCTGTAAATCCAAAAAATCTCCAAAGTGGGGAGCGAGGGGGGAGGACGGGCACAAAAAAAATCCAATGGGATCAAGACAGAACGTTCTAGAACTTCTCTCCATTTTTCGGCTTCTCTTGTAAAAGTCCTGTCACATGTGCGTTCTATAATGCACTGCATATATTGGCGTCATGGCATAGCGTTGGCCGAGTCCATGAGGGCGCACGTCCGCACCTGTTCTGGCCGATGACGGCAGCCAAGGGTACATGATCCAAACAGGTGGAGATCCCCGCCGTAGACCGTTACCTGCCTTCTTTATGTTTAGTTACTGTCTTTTTCAGTTTGTTTCCCTCCCCCATGTGCTGACTTTTATTTTGATTTTATTTATGTTTGTGTTTAAGACATCCACACCTTCCTCTGCTAAAACCCTGAACAGTAGGCCCTGCCTTAGCCCCAAAGGCCCCCCTCCTGGTAGCTCAGACCCTTTGATCAAACCCTCCAGCCCTGCCGTGTGCCCAGAGCCATCCTCCTCTCCTAAACACGTCTCTTCTGTCACGCCCCGAACTGGCGGTTCTGGAGCAAAGGAGATGAAAGTCAAGGTAAGGAAAAACGCCTCCGCAAAGAACCAGGCTGCTCTCGTGTGGTTTTCCAATGTGTGTCTCTTTTAGCCGAAAAGACCTTCTTCAGATCAGCTCTTACCTAGAAGCGCCGCATAGAACAGTTGAAATGGGGATGGGACCTTGGCACCATCCTTCTAAGCTCCCTTAGTGCCTCATAGCAGCAGCCCCCAGGCACCTGCCGGGACCCCGCTGTGAAGTCGCCGCTCTAGCGGGGCTCCCCTGTCCACTCCCAGTTGGGGAACTGGAGTGCTTCCAGATTGCCCTCTCGGGCTGGATACCAGCCTCGCTGGGTGGGCAGCAACGCCTGACCCGCTAGTTGACTCCCTCCTGAGCCATCGTTAGGTCCTTGGTGAATGCAGTGTCTTTTCTGAGTCATGAGTCAGGGTCATCGACTGGGTAACCGAGCCCGGGCACTGCCAGCTGGCTGTGCTGGTGCCCTGCTCAGCCTCGGGCCAGTTTGCTAATCGATGCTGTGTTCACCCACCACGGGCTCTTAGCGCATCTAAGGAGTCGCTGAAACCCAGGGCTGCTTGTGAGAGAACAGAAGAGTCTGACTTAGCTCTGGAGCACTCTCGGTCAAGTTCAACAAACAGGGTCCTCACGGGCCTCTGGTGAAACCAGCCACCACCAGTCAGATCCCTGAGGAGAGGCAGAGAACGGGTGTCCACACGGGAATGGTCTGATGTCCTGCCTGCTGAGTGGCCCTGGTGGAGAGTGAGCCTGAGCGTCACTATCAGCTCCATGGCCGTTCATGCCGCACATTAGCGCAGCTCACGCTGATAATGCACCTGAACGTTCCCCCAGGAGGAAACGTGTTCGGAGTGCTTGGCGTTTGGGTGGGGCTGTGGGTTTGTGTGCCCAGCAAACCCTTGTGATTGTAGGAGACATTCGTTGCATCGTGTAGGCAAAGGGTCACCCCACCCGTAGCCTCATTTAGAGTCAAAGTGGTTAAGTGGCATCGACGCCAAGTAACAATGTCCTTTCTCAACCGTAAAAACCACGCTACCATGCTTCGGTTTACAGGGGGCAGACACTAAAACTGGAACCAAGATTGCCACACCCCGGGGAGCGGCCCCTCCAGGCCAGAAAGGCCCGGCCAATGCCACCAGGATTCCAGCAAAAACGACGCCGTCCCCAAAGACCCCGCCAGGCACGGGTAAGAACCTTCTCTAGAACCCAACCCTCGTCTCCGAACTGGCCCTGACAGTTCATGCCCCTGATGGCTCCGCGATGCCTTCTGCTCGCTAAGCACTGGATTGTGCATTTTCTTTTCCGCCTTCTTGACAATTCTCTTAGTTAGATATTGCATCCCCACCTTTTATCCATGAAGGTGTCAAGCTCAGAGTTTGCACAGCTGCGTCTACCAGCTCGTTGGAAGCAGGAGGAGAATGAGCCGCATGGTAACAAGGGGCAGAAAGGGGGCTTCTCTGAGCTTCTCTTGACCCCCACCCAGTTCAGGGCCTCTGGGAGGTGTTTTGACGGCCACCCAGACATGTCACTATGCGTGACCTCACACAGGGCGCGGCCTCTGCCCAGCCTCACTTGCTGGGGTGTTGGGGATCCTCTGACAGAAGCCAGAGGTTTTCACTGATCAGCTGCAGGCTGTCTGTCCTACGCTCCTGGGAGTGAACCCGGTCGGTTCAGGAGCAGGACAGGCTCCCGTAGAGCGATTTTGCTTCCGGCGGTGCTTTCAGAGGCGTAGCTCTCTTTGGGGACGGGGAGAGCCAGGCTTAGGCCCCTCTCCCAGGAAACATGTTCCAGGCAACTGGGTTTCGATGCTGCACAAGTCAGGGGGCGCTGGCCTGTGCTGGCTCCGGGGAGATGCTCGGGAGCCGGTGGGTCTTGTACGGCTGCGCGTGAGCCTGGCCTGGTCCAATGACACCTCTGCTGCCATTGGCCGGGGTGGCAGCTCAGAGCCCTTCGCCAGCGGCAGGCTTCTGCGTGGCGTCTAGCCTGAGTCTGCCCTCGGGCGATGCCTACAAGGACGGCGCGCATTAAGGCGCGCTGGTTTGGTTTTCCATGCAGTGTTTTCCTCGTGTATGTGATGCCTATGCTATGGGGTCAGTGAGGAATTGTGACTGGATCTGCATACGACTTTGCATGTGCTCTTTGTCACTTCACACGATGCAGTTGGCTCACACGACTGGAGCCACAACTGGAAGCACGAACGTGCATCTCTCCTTGGCTCTCACCTGCTCTCGGGTGGCCGCCTGCAGGTGGACAGAGCACCCCGTGGGCCCCTTGACCTTGTTTCCTGACAGACAGGCCCCTGCTCCCTGGACGCCGTCCCTGCCTCCCACCTCAGCCCCTCGGCCTGGCTGGGCGCCCACGGCCCGGAGAAGAGCTCCTCAGGCCCCATTTCCGCCTGATTGTAACGAGGCTTCCTGTGGATTTTTCTTTTTAAGCTACCAAGCAAGTGCAGAGAAAACCACCCCCCGCGGGGCCAAAGCCTGAGCGAGGTAACGCGCCTGCTCCGCCAGGGGTCACCCCCTCTGTGTGTGGCTGTTTGTCGGCTTTGGTGTTTAGAGCTGGAGGACCCGCTTCTGAAACCGTGGTTTCACACGCTGAGCCTGGACGGGGACAGTCAGGATTCCCGCTCCTCCGCTGGCATGTGGTTTGATGAGCCGTGCGCGTCCGAGGGAGCTTTCTAATCCTGTGTGTTCTCATTTCCTGCCTGGGAGGGCTGGGTGGGGCAGGGGAGCGCGTGCCTCAGGCTGCCTGTGGCTGCTGGAGGTGTGCACGGTCCCTAACCCAGGTCTGCGTGTGACGTTCCCTCTGGCGTTTATCACACGTGGTCTGCACAGCCTGTGAGGCCGGCCCGTCCCTGCTCTGGACGCTTTTACCTGTCACCACATCCCGTCTTCACACACAGCACTGGGGGCTGTGACACATCCCCCCCTTTCAGATGCGGACACAGGCTCAGGGGTCACTCCGCAATTAGGTGGCACAGAAAGGATGTGAAGCCATCGCCAAGTCTGGCCTTGTGCATGGAGGCAGGAGGGGAGGGCAGGGCAGGGCAGAGTGGGTGGGGATGGCCTAGGTCAGTGATGGCGAACCTTTTGAGCTCGGCGTGTCAGCATTTTGAAAAACCCTAACTTAACTCTGGTGCCGTGTCACATATAGAAATTTTTTGATATTTGCAACCATAGTAAAACAGATTTATATTTTTGACATTTATTTTATATATTTAAATGCCATTTATCAAAGAAAAATCAACCAAAAAAATGAGTTCGCGTGTCACCTCTGACACGCGTGTCATAGGTTCGCCATCACTGGCCTAGAGGCAGAGACGGGGGTTGCGGGGGTTCTTAGGTGGAAAAGGAGAAAAGGCTTCGTTTGTCCTGTTGCCACAGAAGTTGACTTTAGGGTTCACAGCAGACGATCACACTCTAGGAAGGACCTGGCTTACTCCCCCCTGGACAAGTGCCTCAGAGCTGAAGGAAGCTAAGCCTCGGCCCCGGGGGCACAGCATGGGGCCCAGTGGCTCTCAGACCCGGCTGCTCAGGAATCACAGGGGAGCTTGGGAGCAGCAGCTTGCAGGCCCCACCCCTAGAGATTCTGTCACGTCAGGTGTGGGCAGGGCCGGGAACCTGCCTCTTACAGCTCCCACTCCCCCTCACAGGTCTAGAGACTGACGCAGGGGCCCTGGGCCACACTAGGAGAACCACTGAACCACGGGGCAGATGGAACAGTAAACGACTGGAGGGCAGTGGGGCGCGGGGTGCAGGTCAGGGAGCACCGGGTAGCGGCCCCCGGGGGAGGACGGTCCCAGCAGCCTTCCCGGAGGGTGTGACAGGTGCACTGGCATTTGCCCTGCATCGTGGGGAAGGGCGGGAACCGCAGGGCAGGGACCGGGCTGGGCATGGCTTGTCTGGAGAGCGAGGGACAGGTGGGCATGAAGCAGGCATAGTGTCTGGAGCCGGGGAGGCTGCGGAGGCTCTGGTGGGAGAGGGGCCCTGAACTTGCTCAGCAGCTTAACATTCACCCTGTGGGGAAAGGGTCTCAAGGGTCCAGACGAGGTGGCCCTGGGTCCTGCCCTGGCATCGCCCTTGCTCAGGGCCAAGGCCACCTGGCATCGCACTGGAGTTTCTGAAGCCCATGCACACACATGGCCGCCCGGCTCCTCACTGCGGGCTTTATCCCTGTGCTCGGTTTTGAGGTGAGGCCCGAACTCAGGGGCATGTGGCTTGTCAGAGACCACACAGCTAGTTGGGGTCCCACCTCTCCACCCCAGGGCCCTGGGGCAGAACCGGCTCCCTCTCTGGGAAGGGGTACTGTCTCTTGCCCTCAGCGACAAGGCCAGGAAGGAAAGACACGGATGAGCTCAAGGGCAGCCCCCTGAGCTCCCGGCCTTTCCCACCTGCCTCATCCAGCCCTGAGCCCGGGGTGGGCCCTCGGGACAGGCAGCCCCGGGCCTGGGCCAAGTGGCGGCCATTCCGAGTTCTGGCCTCACTCCCTCCTCTCTTCCAGGTGAATCTGGGAAATCTGGGGATCGCAGTGGCTACAGCAGCCCCGGCTCCCCGGGCACCCC